CGGGCTCTACTAGTCAAGTCAACTGATCGCTCATTTAATGCAGTTGTCCTCCTACTCCTCCAACGGGAAGACAACCTCAGTATAAAAGATACACTACGAAGAACAACCGGATAACTTTGCCTACATAATTTTGCTACAACTTTGCTAACCACAAGCAAGATATTCAAACTCTGAAAAGCAAAAAGCCTCCTTGAGATTCAAACTCAATATCTTCTACAAGAGAAGGCAGAAGTTGGAAAATTACTCTTTCCAACTCAAGCAAAGTTCCAAGTGTTCTTCAACTCTTCAAGCTCATCACATACAAATCATTTGTAACGAAGCTAGTTGGAGGAACCTCAGTTTCAACAGAAACTCTTCTTGCTACAAGAAGGACGTCCAAATAACTGGAGTAGTGAAGTGGTGATACTTCAAGGAGACTCAGTGAAAGGACCAGTGTTAAAGGAAGCCAGGCAGTGCATCCCAGGACACATCTAGGCTTGAAGAAGACGTGGAGTGCTTCTTAAGTGCTAGGACTAAGGCTTTGTAAACGGCAGTTTTTACAGCTTAGTGGAACAGTGGATTAGAGGAACGAGTTGTTCCTTGAACCACTATAAAAATCCCTGGTGTCGTTTACTTACTGCTTTTAATACTTGCACTTAGTTAGAACTGCATAACTCCTTGGACTTGGTATCTGTGTTCAGCAGAACTTGTTCTACGAGTTAACAGAAGGCCTACTGCCTATTGCTTCTCTGAGGCTAACAGAACTCCCTACCAGAACCCCATCCGCTGCCAGTCTGTTCTTTCAACAGAACAGGCTATTCTGTAAATCTGGTACTTAGTTTAAAAAGCTAAAAACCAATACAGTCTATTCACCCCCCCCCCCTCTAGACTGTATCCAGTATAACCGGGACCAACAATATCCAAGATCATAGTGTCGCGTGGGTCGATGGTAGAGGGTGCGGTGGTCACCAATGCCATGGTATTGTCCCTCTGCAAGGCTCCAAAGTTGCGCTGTCCACGGATGACGCGGGCCTCCTGCCTCATGTCGTCCATCGGGGGGTGCTCCCTGGCAGCCTGATCGTTATGGGGCATCACTAGGGTGCGGTCCCGGACCGTGTCCCACCGCGTTCCTCCGAAGGGCCCGACTCCCCCGGCACCTCCCATATCCGGAGATTGATTATTCCTGATGATCCTAGTATGGACCGACTGGCGAGAATCATCATTCTCACCAGTACGCTTGCCGAGCGTCTGCATGGAACAGAGAGGGGAGAGCAGTGTTTGCTCTGTTTTAGCGGAGTACACGGTGTAACACCCCGGCCACGTAGGCCCCGAGGTAGTTACTTCTGACCTCTAGTACTGTCCTCACAAACCGCCACTAGCCTTTTCCGTGCACTTTGTCCTCACTCGTGCGCGCCCTGAGAAACTTCTCAATGGGGTCACCCATCCTAAGATTACTCTCATGCAAGCACGCTTAACTTTGGAGTTCTTGGGTGATGAATTCCCTTAAAAGGAGATGCACCTTGTTTGTATGAGTAGTACTATTAATCCGTTTAAATTAAATCTCAAGTATTACACACACGCTCCGTCTCCCGTTCGTCTGGCAAATGGCGGATGATGTCTGATATCTCCCTTAGGGCATTCGGGTCCCAACGGACCTCCTGGGGAATCTAGTCAGCGAGTACCCCGAAATCCCTGCGTGACCATACACTGATGGACTTGGCCCCTGTTGCCTGGTTGCGGCTCCTCCTCCTGCGAGCTAGTCGTGAAGAGAGATCATGGGAGTTTCCTGTGTTGTTAGCTGCCATCTTACTTGTTTTTTGGTTGTTTTTGAAATGATTTTTTAGCTATGAGCTTAGTTTGAAAGAACTTTTTGATCAGTTTCCCACAGACAGCGCCAATGTTGAGGTTTATTCCTTCAACCCGTAGGCCCAACACGTAACCTAAGGGTCTCGAGTGGATGGTTTGGTAAGTTAGATGAAGAAACAAGCTAGGAAAAGGCCCAATAAGGAGTATTTATTCAAGTGTTGAGGTTTATTCCTTCAACCCATAGACCCAACACGTAACCTAAGGGTCTCGAGTGGATGGTTTGGTAAGTTAGATGAAGAAACAAGCTAGGAAAAGGCCCAATAAGGAGTATTTATTCAAGTGTTGAGGTTTATTCCTTCAACCCATAGACCCAACACGTAACCTAAGGGTCTCGAGTGGATGGTTTGGTAAGTTAGATGAAGAAACAAGCTAGGTAAAGGCCCAATAAGGAGTGTTTATTCACTGAAACGATTACAAAGCTGAGACGCCGTTCGTACAATACTAGGCTATGGGATGTTACAATTGTTATAATGCTAGAGTGCTAAAATGCGAACCCTTTACAGTGAAATAAATGCTTCTATTTATACTGCCAATGGGTAGTTGGATGTGTTGACGTGGCGGGCTGTGGATGGCATGATTCCAACCACCAAATCTTCTGCATTAAATGCGCTTCCCTGCAGAATCTTGGTGTCCCTCCAAGGGATGGAGACGTTCATCCCCATGCGCTTGCCTCTTGTTTCCTAGTGGACCCTTGGCATCCTGTCAAGGGATGGGGACGTTCCTCCCCATGCACTTGAGCCCGGTCTCCTGCTGGACTCTTGGCATCCTGCCAAAGGGTGGGGACGTTCGTCCCCATGCGCTTGAGCTATTCTTGGGCCAGGGTACCTGCTGATAGTAGAATACGTACGTCCCCTGACCCTTGGTACTGAAGCTTGACCCTCTTCGGGACGAAACTCTCCCCGAACCGACAGACAGGTAACCCATCGTCTTGGGCCTCCAACAGGACATTTGTAGGAGGTCCTCGTGGACCTTTTGGGGACGTTCGTAGGAGATCCTTAAGGGTTGATGGGTCAGCCCTTGTCAGGTCATTAACCCAACACAAATAATCATGGGAGGATCTAGGGGGACAACCTAGACCTTGGCTCACCTGAAATTTTAAAAGAGAGGTTTCCCAAAATAGGACTAAATAGAATTTGGAATTCCAAAATAGGACTACTATGTTTTTCTTCCCGAAATAGGACTAAGAGGACAGTATTTATAGCCATCTTTTAATTATGATTGTCAAATAGTTGCAGTACTATGCATTTAATATGACAGTATTTATTATAATTAATGACAATATTTTTTATTCATGATAGTATTTTTCAATAACGACAGTAACGATTCCTGTTTCAGGAAGAAAAAACGTAGTAGTTCTATTCTGAAATTTCCAGAGTTGTTTACTCCTATTTAGGGCAATTTCCCATTTTAAAAGTGTACTAATTTTAAGGTAAAAAATATGTGAGAATTTTTTTAAAAAATACATTATTCCTTGTATCGGCTCAATTTTACTCACTGTCCTGCCTCCACCCCTACAAATAATATATTTTCCCAAGTCATGCATTGTTCCATAATCAACAACTTTGATTAGAAAACCACATACCATCCTTTAACACACACTTCACAACAATTTCCTAGAATTTCATGGGATACCTTTTAGAATCAATACATAAGAGGGTCGGAGGCACACATAAGCCTCGGGGGCCTTGGCCCCTCCCAATTTTTTTTTCCTAATATTTCATTAAATTTTACCTTATAATTTTTTTGCCTCGTCCCCCAACTTTTGTTTGTTTTGTTGGTATGGTAATATAAAATAAATTTATTATCTCCCATTTTTCTATAGTTAATTAAACATCCATCACCTCGTGGTGCCTTCCCTATTTCGGAGGCTTAAATGTGCAAATACGTTCTAATAAAAATATATTACTCTCGTCCCTTAAAACTTTGCCAAAGTTGACCGGCACAGAGAATAATAAAGTAAAAACTGTGTGGTTGAGGTTTGTACAAATGAGAGAGAAATAAGAGAAACAACAAAATAATTGATTAAAAAGGAAAGTGACAACTTTTTTTGGGACATCCAAAAAAGGAAAGATGACAAAGTTGTAAGAGACGGATGAAGTATTACCTAGTACTCCGTATTAGATATTTTTAAATAAATGAACAAGTAGACTTAAATCAAATATAACGGGAGGTGTTGTCAAATTTTAAAGTGTAAGCATATCAACCCTTTTGTTCCTCCTCCATCACATCCTGGCTTCGCCTCTGCTTATGATGGTTACTCCCTTCACCGGACACCAATCGGACGCCACGACATATCGGGAAACAGAAAATGTGATTGCTTTTTCAGGAATAACTAAGAATAGTGCCTTATTTCTCGCTAGCCAAAACTTATCAATCACGTCATTGTCTATGTTGAAATCTCACACCGATAAAATATGAAATAATAAAGTGCTTTATTAAGATCCTCCTTTTAATCTGATCCACTTGGGCACATACTCAGTGACTCCGAGCTTTTCCATCCTTCAACTCAAAAGTGTCAACCGTGCACATGTGACAAGAGAGATATAAACACAAAAAATTAATTAATAGAAAGTCGTTTACATTCTTTCCATGGTATAATAGATGTTCAATCATTCTTTATTCACAATGTCAAGTACATCGTCTCGAATCAGACATTCTACTTGACATTATGAATAAAAAGTAACTAAAAATTATTATGTCATAGAAAGAAAGAGAGACTTTCTATTAATTAATTCTTTTGCATTGGAGATGCTTTAAGAGCACCTTGTGTTGCATATATGAGCATATTACTTTCTTTATGGCCTTGTTGTTTTTACATCTTCCCCTTTTGTTCATGTTGATATCACTAAGCTCCAAATTTATTTAAATTTTAGAAATTCATTATCAGCCATACCATAACAATTTTTTTGAGAAATTAAAATAACAATTCTCAAATTCTTATTTTATGTGGTACATATATTGTTATGTGGTAATAATAGAAGGAGAATGTCGTTGTGTGATGTATTTATGTATATTTTGTACTTTAACAATTTTAACTTTTACATAACCCAACTTCCTTAAGAAACCGTGTGTCCAACACGTAACAATTTAGTGATTCATTCATTTCCAGTCCACAAAATGTCAATCATGTTTTCTGACCCTCTCGTTTTGTGCCTAACAAATGTCACACAATTTCAGCTAGTGTAATGTGCATGGTTTCTTCTCAAACTTAGGCACTCCTCTAGCTCTCATCACCATTCGATTCTTCTCATCAAAAATGACTATCTTGTGTTTTTTCCTTTTCATTACTTTTTTCTACCTTGTCTGGTTGCTAACCATAACAAATGCGGAAGTGATTGATTCTCTCCCCGGGCAACCTTCAAAAAATGTCTCTTTCAAGCAACATTCGGGTTACATCGTTACAGATGATGATCATGGTCGGGCTTTATTTTACTATTTTGCCGAAGCACAATCGAAGAACAAACTTTCACTTCCTCTAACACTTTGGCTCGGTGGAGGTAAGTTTACTCATTTTCACGGTAGAATTTTTTATTTTTATCTCTCTAAATAACGCTCTCACAACACAGGTTAAGAACCAAAATGGTTTTTTATATGGCAAGTCAAGCAATTGTTCTTAAAAGTAATTCCAATAGTTAAATTACATTTGTTTAGCAAATGTTTTTTGATCCATTCATGGAAGTGAAAACTTTATTTTGTGACATTCAAAGGAAAGTAAGATTCTTTTGGATGGAGGTAGTACTACCTCCGTTCCTATTATAACTTCCAAATAGGTTTGACACACAATTTAAGATAGTGGGTATCGTGTGGTGGAGAATTGTGCAGAAGAGAGAGAAATGTGTAAGAATTGTTGTGAACAACAAATTTTTTATCAAAAAGGGAAAGTGGAAGTTTTAATTGGAACGAACGAAAAAGGAAAGTTGGAAGTTATAATAGGAACGGAGGGAGTATATTGTAAGAGTTAGAGGTGTTCATTGAACAATTGATGATTAAGAGAGTCATCTATTTATTTCAGCTCTAGGATGCACTTCCCTCGGAATTGGTGTATTCTTGGAACATGGTCCATTCAAGCTGTCGGGGCATGACAAATTGATAAAGAATGAGTACTCTTGGAATTTAGGTACCGGTTCCTATCGATGACAAATGATCTACTTGAGTATTGCTAATTGATCTTTTATGAATTTCGATCCGTGTTCTAAGTATCTTGATCTTGCAATAATGTGCAGAATCCAACATGTTATACGTAGACGCTCCAATCGGAGCCGGCTTTTCGTACTCAAATACAAGTTCAGACTATGCCGTTTGGGACGAGCCCAAGTCAGGTGAGTAATAAAGTTGGCCAACCAAGCATTCCAGCCGAACTGGTTGTGAGGTTACTGTGCCTAATGGGAGCTCTCGATTTCAAAATCCGTTAGGCACATAAGAGTTTGAAACTCAATGGAGTGAGTTTCAGCCCTGATGATTACTCCAGTCCCCCTCCCCCAGACCTCCTGGAGTAATAAAGTTAGCCACACAAAACTTTTCAAAAACAAAAATGGGAAGATTTTTTTGGGACGTCCCAAAAAGGTAAGATGGAAAAATTTTAAGGAACAAAAGGAATATATACATGTGTGTGTCTGTACGAGATGGTACGCTTCTGGTGATAATGGTGTCCCACGAGAGAAATGAGTATAAAATTTAGCCATCAAATATACAACATCAATGGTCAAGATTAAGCATAAACGAGTGGTGGTAATTTGTAATTAAGTTCAACTTCTATGGGCAATTCTAATCATATTACTAACCATATTAAATGGTGAGGACGAGTTAGTAAACTGCTAACCAAGATAAAGTAATTGTGTCCACTAAAATTAAACCTTACCCACTTTCCATGTTAGAAGTTCCCGTATAAATGGGAAACTATCACCCTAAAATTGTGGACCATTAAATTACTTTCCATAAAAAGCTGTTTATTTTGTGTTTAAATAGTGCTACAATAATAAATTAACTTAATTAGTTTACAAAAGGTTGTGTACATTCACTTTAGTTATTTAGTTAGTGCAAAAGTATCTAAATAGCTTTGCACTTCATTTACGATTTACTACTCCGAATATAGTTTGCACTTTCTATAACATTAATCTGCAGTTTATCAATTCAATGAACTTGTGCACATCTATACATGTCTTAAACAAAATGAATTGAAATATTGAAATATAAACTATAAGCTATCATGTGCATTTTAAATATATACATATACATACACACACACACACACACACACACACACACACACACATATATATATATATATATGATGGAGTATATGGGTCTGAGCCCCCGGACCCACATACTCGGAAGAACAGAAAGCACAAGACACAGGGTGGCGCCCTCGTCGGCCAAGACGCCCCCGTCGGCCGAAAAATGGCCAACTCAGATTATGGTCCTCAGTCCAAGGAACCCGGGTGCCCTCGTCGGCCGTGCCCTCGTCGGCCACGCCCTCGTCGGCCACGAAGACCTCCTAGAACCGGATTTTACACTTACTCATTTGTACAGCCCATTAGTGGCTTTGTATTCGGCCCAGTAGCGGTCCAGTTGTAAATGGGCCTCCCAAGCCCAAGGCTTGGGAGCCCAGCCCGTATTTTCTCTATAAATACTCCCCTTGGGGGTAGTTATAGGGGTTACAAATTCATTCTATTGAAGCATATTATTGCACTTCTCTCTCTAGCTCTCACTTCTCTCTAGATATACTCTATCATTTGGTGCTCTCATTGAGAGCTAGAACAATCAAGTTAGCACCCTTCGTCGCTACCAAGCACAGCTAACCACTGATCATGGGGAGAACTAAGTCAAACCGCAACCTCGTCAGCAAAGTCATCCCTGAGGACCAAGAGCCCAGGGAGCACGATGAGGACGCCACGGCCGACCAGGCCGGCGGAGGGGACCTCTTCCAGGAGGCCTTCAACCTCACGACGGACCTCCGCAACCAACTCAACGGCGGAGTCCCCGACGCCCGCCTCGACCTGGACAAGAAACGAGCTGAGAAGACGGACCACGCCCCGGCCCAGCCTATGGCCGCGGCCTCTCCGTCTGTGGATCCGCAGGTCCAGGCCGCGCTGTCGGTCATCATCGCCAGCCTGGCTCAGAACTCCACCGTCCTCAGCGCACTCTTGCCAAGGACCGGGGGGAACGTCACTCCACCTCCTCATCCCCAACCGTTGGCCGTCCAGATAGGCAACGATGAGGGGGTAATGGCCCAGGACACGGCGTCGTCCCACTCCCACCCTGTTTCCCCTCTTCGGCCCGGGCAGACCCCAGCGCGTGGAAAAGCCCCTGCCTTCAATAGGCTAGGTGACACGCGCCGTCGTCCGGTTTCGGAGAGGATGGCGGGACGGATTGGTGATCCTCGTCCTGGCTCACCAAGGGAAAGCTTGGGGTCTGTGTCCCGGACAGCGGACCAGCCCCGCCCGGACAAGGGCAAGGGAAAGTTGCACGAGGATGACGTGCGTCACCAGATCAACGCGGCTCACAACGAGCGCCTGAGGAACCAGCCGGGCGCCGCTGCGGCCGCCAGGGACCCCCGGGACGAGGTCATCGCCCAGTTGGAAAGGAGGCTGGCTCAGATGGAGGCCAAGCAGTCGGCCAACATCCCTACGGCCGGCGCCTCCAACGACCCCGGCCTCAACGCGCTCATGAACAAGGTTAGTGCCCTGGAGAGGGAGCTGGCCGAAGGGCGAGGTGACCCCATCATCCAGATCAGGACCAGGACCCATTTCACCAGCAGGGTCCTCTCGGCCCCCATCCCGGAGAAGTACAGGGGGAACGCCATCAAGTCCTACGATGGCCGATCAGACCCCCAGGAACACTTCAGCAGTTACCAGAACAACATGATGATGGTGAACGCGTCCGACGAATACCTCTGCCGTTGGTTCCTCTCTACTCTCGAGGGGCCAGCGTACGAGTGGTTCAACGTGCTCCCCGAAGGGAGCATCGACTCATGGCAGGATCTCGCCCAGCGCTTCCTCACTCACTTTGCCGGGAGGAAGCACGCGAAGAAGTATTTCACCCACCTCCTTTCCGTCAAACAGCAGCACGAGGAGTCCCTCCGGTCCTTCATTGATCGATGGACGAGGGAAACCGAGGAGGTCGAGGGGGCCGATGAGCGCACCCTCCTCGCCTTGTATCAGGGAGCCCTCCGAAGCTCCCCGTACGCTAGGAACCTCATTACCGACCCCCCGAGGTCGTACGCCAAGGCGCTCCAGCGCAGAGGCTTGTATGTCGACGCCGACGAGCTCCACAATCACAAGAAGGAGGGGGGTCATCCCTCCAAGAAGACAAATCCTTCGCCGGCCCCGGGTCCGTCCCCGGCCGGCCAGGGTGCCCAGGGCCGTCACGGCTCTGGTGGACAGAGTAAGAATGATCGCCACTGGCGGCCGAGGTTGGAACGGCCGGGGGTCTCCCTCACTCACCCGGTCGGCACCATCCTCGATTATGCCGAGAAGCACGGCCTCATCGAGCAGGCTCCTCGGCCGGCCGAGGAGATCCTTGCCATCCAGCAGGGCGGCACATACTGTCGGTTCCACAAGAACTCGTCGCACAACACCGACGATTGCATCACACTGAAGAAGGCCATCGAGCGCCTTATTCGCCAGGGGGAACTCTCCCAGTTTGTCAAAGGTGGCCCACGCAAGAACACTTGGGTAAACACCGGCAAACATGGGGGCGAACCCTCTGCGAAGAAGCGGGAGATTGGTAGGCTCAGCGACGACGAGGACTTCGAGGAGCCCCCGCCGAAGAAGAATCACATCCACCTCATCGTAGGTGGGAACACTGGGGGGGACTCCGTCACTCAGAGAAAGAAATGGGCCCAGTCCCTGTACATTGGGGAGGTGTCCCACGTCCCCCCCCCCCAGCCGAAGAGGCAGCGAACGGAGGCGATCACCTTCACCGACAAGGATCTGCCTCCGGGTACGGAATCACACAGGGACGCCCTCGTCATCCGATGTGAGATCGGTGACTCCATCATCCACCGTACTTACATCGATACGGGGAGCTCCGTCAACGTGATGTACCTGGACACCTTCAAGCAGCTGAAGCTGGACAGAGCTCTGCTGAAGCCGATCAAGACCCCGTTATCCGGCTTCACCGGGGACTCTATCGACGCCGAGGGCACGATAGTCCTCCCCGTGGAGGTCGGTGACGGCCCCCACCACGCCAAAATTGACATGGAGTTCATGGTGGTCAACCTCCAATGCGCCCACAACCTGATCTTGGGAGGGCCAGAGGATAGACAGGGCATGCTACCTCAAACTAACGAGGCCGGCCGAGAGGGAGGGCCAGAGGATAGACACCATCACGGCCGCCGTCGCCATGGACGAGGAGAGACCACATGCGGAGCCGGCCGAGGAGGTCGAGGAAATCCCTCTGGATACCTCCCGGCCGGAGCGGGTTCTCAGAGTCGGAAAGCAACTCCCCCAGGACCAACGAGACGCCATCCTCCTCGTCCTACGGTCATACGCCGTTGTCTTCGCATGGGGCCCGGACGATATGCCAGGCATCAGCCGCCAGGTGATCACTCACCGGCTGACCGTCGATCCAGCCTCCGCGCCCGTCAAGCAGAAGCGGCGCTACTTGTCCGCCGACAGGCGGGACTTCGTCAAAAGGGAGGTCGCCATGCTCCTATCAATCAAACACATTAAAGAGGTGAAGTACCCGACATGGTTGGCCAACGTCGTCCTCGCCCAGAAACCGCCGACGTTCAGAATGTGTGTTGACTACACTGACCTGAACAAGGCGTGCCCCATGGACCCGTTCCCTCTCCCCAATATTGATCAGCTGGTGGACGAGACGGCGGGGTGCGAGTTGATGTCGTTCCTCGACGCTTTCAGAGGGTACCACCAGATCTCCATGCATGAAGACGACGCTGAAAAGACGGCATTCATGACCCCAGAGGGAATCTTTTGCTACCTCGTCATGGCCTTCAGACTCAAAAACTCCGGCGCCACCTATACTAGGATGGTGGCCAAGATCTTCAGAGCGGTCCTTGGCCGGACGATGGAGGCGTACGTTGACGACATGATCGTCAAGAGCAGGCAGGCCACCTCCCACGCCGACGACCTCCGGAAAATCTTTGAAATAATGAAGGAGTTCAGGCTCCGTCTCAACCCCAAGAAGTGCGCCTTCGGCGTCCAGGGCGACAAGTTCCTCGGCTACATGGTCAGCCGGAGAGGCATCGAGATAAACCCGGAGAAGACGCAGGCTATCATCAACATGGAGCCGCCTCGCAACGTCAAGGAGGTACAGCGACTGACGGGGCGCCTGGCGGCCTTAAACCGGTTCCTCTCCA